AACTGGTACACTGATATTCATCTTTGCATATAACTTCCTGAAAAATTACATGGATTTCTCATATGGCCATACTTTCTAAAGCAGCAGAATACATAAAGTGTTTTTCGTTTCCTTATTAGGAGTAGAAGAGGACAAGAAAGATGTCCTCTTTGTTTCCTCCTTCAGTTATCAAATATTTTCTCTCAATTCATGCTCCCTCCCCAGCCCTCTGAATCCTCTGTAAGACCAGCAGGTGCAAGATTAGGCTCTTGTGAGAGACGCTCAGCCTGATGAAGGCAAACACCATGTGTGTGTTTGCTGTTGAACACACAGAAAAGGTATTTCATGAATAAATATTTTTACATAGAAAGAAAAATATATGAAATAAAATAGAAATATAATATTAAACTTGAGGTACTCTGAATTTTATTTTCTTTTTTGGCCTTTTTTTAATGATGTCAATTTTCTTTTTATGCTATTATAAAAATAAAATTTTGCTGTTCGCCTCTTTTCAATAATTTGATATCCGACAACCAGAGTTATGGCCCTAATATTTCATTTTCTGGCCAGACTTACATCTCACAGTAATTTTTCTGCACTGGGTGCAAATATTTTTCAACAGCTGCTGCCTGAACCGCTGCACAGCCCTGGTTCTGGCGCGCTCCCTGCTCGCGCCTTCTTTCTCTGCTACTTGGTTGTCTCTCTTCCTCAGCTTCATGGAGAAGGGTCAACTTTAAGGATCAGTCCTCAATTTTCTTATATTTCCTTCCACATCAGCAATTTCAGAGGCGTGTTTCACTCTTAATAGGTTCAATTGTGACTTTTAACTCCAAGCCTCTGTCACCAGCCCAGATTTAGTTCCCAATTTCCAGGACCCATTCCCAAATCTGCCTGGACACCTCCAGAGTCACGTGTATCACTTTTACTCAAACTCTTGTCTGTAACTGAAATTGCCTTTCTCCTGAAACTGAGTTTCCCCATAAATGTTATCATCTTCCCACGCACTGAGGTAAGAACCACCCAAATCAACCTTTGTTTCCTTTGCCCCTTCTCCAGGCCCCACTGATTCTGCAGTTTAAGTATCTGGACAGCCCTTTGGAGCAGCTCCCTTTTTACTTTATTCTTCACACTATCATTGTTCAGACCTAGTTACCTCAATTTTGAGACACTTTATTAAGCTCCTAAATTATACCTGTACTCATGTTTTACTCAGTTTCCTGGCACTTTTCCAACCTTGGAAAAAGTTATTTGCTTTTTCTCAAATATTGCTTCTATTATGTGATTCCTCTGCTTACCAACTACAGGTTATACCTGAGTGCTGACAGAACAAGAATCAGACTGTCACTGTGCTCCTCAGAGCTCTGTTTTGTATGTCTACACATTTCTTTCTATTTCTTATATTGAAATGTAATATTTTCACTCTATACTGTCAATTATTACAGGACATACAAGTTTTTTTCAGGTTGGGTACCTGAAATATAGGATGCTAAAATGAGTTGCTCAGAAACGACAATAATTACAGAACCAGGAAGAGGTCGAAATTAATGGCTCTTAGTACACATGCTGCCAGATGGATAAAGCAGAGGGGCGGGGTTTAAGATGAAATTTATCTTGAACATTCATCATAACAATAAATACAGTTTTGATAGAAAAAAATATGACCAAACCTTTATAGAGGTATTCCTCAAGGACCGATGAGATGCCAGGCTAGTCCCACTAATTCCCAACTTTGCACTTTTAAAAGTTGGGAATGACTTTTAAAAGCTAGACAGAAAGAAGTAGGGAGATACTCTGGAACCTGTGATATTAGATATCAAGAATTATCTAATAATTCAAAGCAGATGACGGCAGATAATTTTCCTGTATACAATTTAGATGGTTTTGTAGAGGCATGCAAGAAACTGCTCTGATCCCATATTCAGTGACTAGCCTGTGGTTAACATTAGAATAAGGCAAAAATGTGGATAAAGGATAAGAGTTCTACCATGTGGTTTGCTCTTTAGATGAAAGCAGAGACATAAATTCCAATTTAATATTACGTCTTTCCAGTGCAGCCTGAAACTGTATTTGGCTTGAAATGTAGTTTTATTATTTTTTCTTTCCCTTCTTATTCTACAGGATTTCGGTTTCACCTCCACAATTCTTTCTTTTTTAGCCAGACTTATCACATATTATAGTCTCAAACAAAATTTGTGTGTGTGTGTGTGTGTGTTTGTGTGTTTATATGTGATCTCAGAGTCTAAGATTTTAGGACCTAAAAGAAAGTTCCAAATAAATAAATATTTCTAAGACATGAAATTGCCGTTAGGTTTCTAATGCTTACCGCTATTGCAGACTTCCTTATTATGATAATTAACAATAAGGAAACCTTTGTGGTGCAGATTGCTTGATTTCTGTCAGCTTTTTCCCCTACTTTGGGATCACTTAGTAATCCTTGGTCTGAAATGAGTCTTCTTCATTAAGGAGAATTAACTATCAAATGAGGTACATCTACTTGGATTTCCTCCTTCTCTAAAATGTTCTGGTAAATAACAACCCCAAATTGAAACCAGACTATCATTTTGTCATCCAAAATCAGAAGAGGAAACAGGAAACAAAGACCCCAATACATAAGAATTAGATCCTCAAAAGACATTCATCGGCATCAGACTGCTTTAAAACTTTTACAAGGTAACAGAAGTTTTGTATTTTATTTTCAACATAAAAGAACCACAAACCAATTCAGAATAGCAACCTTCCTCTAGCTAGGCTATCAGATTCCTTGATTTGTAAGGCACAAGCTAAGGAGGAGAGATTCATGACGTGCTGTGCAGCCAGCAGAAGCCCAGGGGAGCCAGAGGACTTCTGTCTCTCAGATACTCCTACATTTTTAACACAATGAAACACTTACAATGTCTTGGAGTAAACTAAGGTTAAAGAAATTGAATTAAACTGTTTTATTTGCATTTATTTGACTTTTATGGCCCCTATTTCTTTATTTTATAGTATATTTAATAGAACAAACTAAAGTATATTATGTTTAGTTATTAGTGTTGTCTTGTAAAAAAAAAAAAAAGCATCATGCTGTTTCAAAGAAAAAGATTTCCAGCACTGTAATCACTGGTTGTGGAAAGTTCAACAGGCTGACAAGCAGCCGGGCGTTAGTGTGAATCCAGGCTCTGTGGCTTCCCCAGCTGCGAGGCTGCACGTTCTAACCTCACCTCAGCAAGTCTCAGTCGCTTCCTGTGTCAAACAGGGATGATCACAGCACCTGGATCAACAGGCTGTTCTGACGTCAGAGATGATGTAAGGCATCTGGTAAATTTATATATATATACACACACTTAAAATGAATGACAGTTAATAATTAGAAATTCTTGTTGGTTGAAAGGTAAAATTAGTGAAGAGTTAATACATATAAATGACTGAGAATGATGCCTAACACCCAAGTGTTAGCTGCTGTCATCATCATCACCATTAAATGGTAAAGGGGAGCTGACAGAACCCGAAGGAAAAGAAGCAAAATTAATCCCATACCTCTCCTTCTTCAAGGAAATGAGAAGAATCCCTATTTGCTAGAGACTTTATACACACTAAGAAGTCAGCCTGATATGACGAAAAGATAGTCATGGATTATAAAGGCCCTATTACTCTCTCTGACTTTTCAGTTGACACTGGATTTGGAACAAAATATTGAGAGGGGCTTGATAAATGACTCATGAAGAGATGCCCTCCCCCCTTGGAATAACCAGCAGTTTGAGGAAGAGCTTTGATTAAGTCCTCTGACGTCTTCTCTTCCTGCTTTCTTTCACCCCTGTGGCCCACCAGCCCAGGAGCCTGGCAGGCAGAGCAGAGGGCCTGCCCCCAGAGCACGTGCCTGCAGGAGGGGAGGGTGGGAGGACCGGGAACTTCATCTGAAGGTTGAAATAATTTTACCAAAAAACGAAGAAACTATGTTCTCAATAAACTCTAGTCCCAAAGAGAGTCAAAGAATTCTGGGAAGTTTTACAAGTTGCTCTTTGAGCACCTTTGAAGAAATCCACAGTTTTTGTGTCGTGTTAAATAAAGCACTAAAGAACACTTCTGATTGTTTACTCTGAAATGTATAATATCCTAAGTTAAACATACTTTTAATTAATACTTTTATTTCTGACATTTTCTTTTTTTTCCTTAGAGGTCATATTTATGAGATTTGAGCTAAAACCATTTAAGCATCATAGAGTGAGATTTCAGAGGTCTGCTTAGAAAGAAAAATTCTTCCAAATGCTTTGAAAAGGACATGCACTCCTATAGTTGGAATTAACAGGCTTAAAAGCAACTGCTGATGGGCAGAGCACATGAATTGGAACTAATTATTTTAAAGCAGAGTAAATCACAAAATACATCCTTTCATGTAAGTGACTGAGAGGATGGGTACAGAAAACTCACTCTACGTGAGTCAGTCTTGGTAACGTTCAGCCGTGCAGGAGCACCGTCTGTTGAAGTGTGCAGGCATTTCTGGCTACAGCAGCTGGCACATAGTAGGCACTCAGTATGTGTTTGCTGAGCAAACGGATAAATGTATCATTACAAACCTCCGCAGGTCTGCTTATGCTATACAACATGCTACATTTTTATTATCTGGTCTAAATTATAATTATTGGCTCATGAACTTGACTATGATAGAGATTTGTTAACATAGGAGTATCGCTTTATTAATGCTAATTAACTTTCTTTTGAGGAATAAAAGGATCATAGTGAAAGACAGCTATTGAAAATGTTTGTTGACTTTTAAGATGTAGATTCCATCAGATTAGTATTCTTCCTTTAGAAAAAAAGTCTCTGCCAAGGGAAATACTCTCTCTTAAATGATATCACTATCCTCAGAAAAGAATCTGGATAAAGCACAAAATATCCACTGATCTCCTGATATTTCAAAATAGATCAATATATTTACTTAAGTAAATCCTTACAACTATTCTTGAGCTAACTGTAACCTAGTAAAAGTTTATATATATATAGACATATACACACATATATATTTTTTTTTCTTTCTTCCCTAGATTGAACATCCCCTTGCTGTGTGATATATGACTAAAGAATAGTATATGGAGACAAGTAACGAAGACAACAGAAGTTGTGGAAAGGAGAAAAACGAGATGGTGGCAGTAACTGTACACTTTAAATTTACCCTAAGCACATAGACTCCATTTACATGAGTGTATAGATGCCTTTATTTTACTTTTGCCCGCAGCATTGGGTATTTTGCATTTATAAATGTGACCTGTATTAAACCCAAGTAAGCACTAAATCATGCTGTTCAGATACTAACTTTCAGAAAGGGCCACATTCTCTTTTCCTTTTACTGAAGCGCAATTTTTAAAGGTAAAAATCTTATCATTTTAAATTTGCCACAATATCTAGTTTCCCCTGCCACCTTCCCCGTTTATTTTATCATTTGTCTTCTTCTCTTGATACTATCTGTTCACACAGCAGTCTCTCCAGCCAGACTGCAGCTTCATCAAGTCGCAGGTGTACTGCAGCTGAGAATCCTGAGCGCCCCCCGAGGACTCATTATTTAGGAGAGTGACGGTTTAGGGGAGTGAAGGTTGCTCATGCACTTTCCTCCTCTAACTCTATTTTTGTTAGTTTCCATTCATTTTGGGGTGCTTTTTTTAAGACCCAGAGTAATTTTTTTCTCTCCATCTTTACCCTCATGGATCTTTGTCTCTTATAGATAATGTGTCTTCTTCGAGGATAACGAATACCAAATAGTATCTTAAAAAACAACAATCACAGCATATTCACTACTTCTCATTACAGGTATGAAGAAATATTAGGATTGATAGAAATACCAACATATCAATGTGTAAATATCTTCTGTTATCACAGACATCAAAATTTGAATAACCGACAGGAATAACCTCACTAAAGGGCACTTTTAAAAGTTACTCAGTAAATGGTAACATCTGCTAGAAAAGAAAGGATGACGTTTTTTTTTAACAAGGAGAAAAAAAGTTACTTAGCAATGTGAGCTATCGAAAGATGGTTATTAACATTGTTCACTATTTCAACGATGTTTTCAGGGTAATGGAAAAATTCTCTCACGGTTTTTCTTTCTTATATTTCTTCAAAGTAAATAGAAAATATAATAATATCTTTCATCCTCAATAGGATGTTATGATTTAAACATAATGCAAATCTTAGAATTTATTCTTAGGGTTACCTAGGAGATGCCAAGTAATTACCTGGCAAATAGCAATCAGCGCAAAGACTAAGCCTCTTACCATCAAATCCGTCCTCTTCTGACCCTAGTTCATCATCTGAGCAGATGTTGAGGACATTTACCAGCATCTCAGTCACTGAAAAGAAAAAGGAAAGAAAGAAAAAAAAGTCCAGATTTTCTGTTATAACCTTAATTATCACTCTGGCATTGTGAATGAGCAAGCTCAGCAAATACATTTCTTACCTATATTGTATAGAGAATCTCCTGCAAAGTAGTTTCTATTAAATCCAGACTATAAAAAAGATAACAGGCTTTGTGATTCTATGCACACTTCATGTTTATAGAATTATTAGCTCATGCCTGTGAAATCTAATGGTAACAGTTACTAGTTGTAGGTCAACAGATAATGGACAAATCAAATATGTGAATGAAGTATAAATCTATGAAGGAGAAAATGGTCACTTTAGAATTTTAATTTATTTGCACACTGATGCTGCTAGATCTAGCCCAGATTGCCCATTTCTGTTCACAGGGACTAAGTGAACGCTGGGTCTCTTTTTTATTTTTTCAACCCCTGGAGAACCTAGCACAGTGACAGGCATGTGGTTTTGTGCTTAATAAAAACTGCTGATTGATGAACTAATATATTTGTAGTAGTTTTGAGAATACTGATTTAAAAAATGAATGTGTTGATAGATATATCATTAAATTGTAAATAAAGCACAGGTACGTTTACAAGAAATTCATTTGAGCAAAGAGATTACAATAGGACTACATAAATGTGTTGTAAGGAGAAAATTCGTACTGCATCACTTTTACACTAAGGGGCATGCTATTCACATCTGACATCTATCACGAATGTGCAAAGAAGCTTGTCCACTATTTCTTCAAGAGCTATTTTTTAAAATCAATGTTTTTCTAGAATGGAAGGTATAGGATAAAGAGTAAAACCACAGCAGAGCCAATGTTCATCTAGAGCTTCAGTTTAATTACAACAGTGATTTATGCATATATGCAAATACATTAATATGTTCTTTTAGAATAGATGTTCAAATCTGAGTAATGACTGCGAACAACCCAACTGAAGGGTGTTCAGAGTGGCCAGGAGTTGTCAGCATTTGCACTGCTTCTGTTTCCAAAGAAGAAACAGGTGACATGAACACATGCCACGACCCGCCAGGAGCAAGACAGCACAAACACTTATCAGACTGCCAAAATGTGCTTTTGACTTGTTTTAGAATCCAAAGGGAAGATTTCTTCATCGAAATTCATAACTTCCTGGTTTAATCATGTGGGGGCATTTAAAGGAAAAAAAAAGAAATATTGTAGGAAAATAAATATTACATATATTAATATGTTACATACATTTATTAATATAAATAAAAATATTTCAGAAAAATGTGTACCTTTTCTCTAACCACCCCCTCAGGACATCATTTCCTGAAAGACGCGCAAACTCTCATCTGTGTAACAGTGTCCGTTCACTTCCCAAGCGACATGAGAGGTGACGCGTGAGGAATGGCCCAGTCTGTCACAGTAGGCCTCCTAACTAAAAGCTCAAGCTCAGTGGGTGAAGGCCTTTCCTTGAAAGTTTGGCTGAGGTTTAGGTCAAAATATAAAAACAAAACAAAGAAAGAAAGAAGGAAGGAAAGAAACGCCCAATTCTTCTGGAAAACTGGGGCAAGTTAATAGGCATCTTTAAAATGTAAATTTGTCTCACCTTGTAATACACTAATTGCCACTATATTTGTCATGAACTGTTCTTTGCTGGACACATTGTCTTTCAAAATGCTGTAGCCATTAATCACTATCATACAATGATCATTTTTAACATCAGAGAGGTGATTTCAGAAAGCATGGCCATCTTAACCTTTGAATTTGGCAGTCAGTTTGTAAAATAAAACAGCACTTTTGAATTATAATACAAAGGGGTAAGAAAAAAGGTAGCCATTACAGCTTGAAGCCAGTTAAAACTTTATATCTGTTATTTTTAAAAGAGTTCTATTACTCTAACGAGATTATATAAATTCTTCTAATATACCTCATTTCTTTGGTTCCCTCTTAACTCACTCTTTGCATTTTGTTAATACAACAGACAGTGACACACTTTCAAATCCCTTCTCTCCTGGTGCAGCCTGTGAGTTTCACTGGTAAGGCCAAGCGCTTCTCCTTCCGAGTGTTTCATGGGGAAAACGGCCGCATCTCCTCTCCCTCCCGCCTGAATCATTTTATTAGGAACTTCTCAGGACTCCACCACACACCTTTCTCCCCAACAAATGGCAGGGACCAAGTGAAAACATCCATGAAGTTTGGAAGCCAGTATGGGTGAGGAGAACAGTTGAACTGCCGGATATTCATGACGTTGTTCTCATACTTCAAGACTGCAGCTGAAAACGACAAAAAGAAGGATGTTAGATTCACAAGCACGCATTTCTGCTTCTACACATGGCTTCAGTTGATCAAGAATATTCAACTCTCTGACTTAAGTTCCAAAACATCAAGGCAAATAGCTTAATCAGTCATGAATGTTTATACTACTTATGGCCTTAAACTTCATTTGGTGGAATATGTAACTGCACAACATATGACTACTAAACGTGAATGGCATTATAATTTGGCAAATATTTATACAAAATAGTTAATTAAATGTCTGTCAGAAATTAGATCAAGCTCCTCTTGCAGCCAACAACATTCTAGTCTTAATATATGATGATACTAATAAAAGTGACATAACTAAGTTAGTCTGAAATAATTTAATAATCTCCTCAAATATTTGAATAGAATTTCTATTTCTTTTAAAAAGCACTTTTTTCCAGTAGACTTGATAATAGTTGTAGAAAACAGTTTAAAATTAGATTGTGTTCTTGACTTAATAAAGTAACATGTTTGAGTTGAATCTGCATAAAATAATATACTGGTATCTGACTATGCACTTGTCTCTTGAAAAGGATGCACCATCCAGGACTTAGAAGAATGAATCTGCCGGCTTCACTCTGCTTTGTATGGTGTCTGTGGGTTAGACACACACGCACATGGAACGCTATGGTTCCAGAGATCCTAAGAGTCTCACTTCCACCCGGATTCAGAAATTCATTCTTTAGCAATCCTGGGACAGGGTGAGCAGGTCTCCGTGCGCACTTTCAATGAGGGAAAAGCCATCTGTTTTAACGGGGTCACCTGTTCCACGGATACACAATTTTAAGTTGTGGGAAATTCTCAGGTTGAGCTTAAACCTTCTTTACCACTCACTGATTCTAGTTCTGCCTTCTTGGAGAATACAGAACAGTATACTGCTGTTTGTGAATGACAGTCTTTTAAATATTAAGAACAATACTGTCCTATCATACTTCCTGAGCTTCGGCAAGATTTCACTTTTACTATCCTGTCATAGCATCACTAGCATTACAGTAGTGGAGATTATCAAACAGATCCTAGATGATGTCAAATGAGTCTTCCTTGTTTTTGTTTAGGGGTTTAAAATATAGAATAAATTAATCATTTCATTACTTTTTGATTTTTAGACTGACTTTTAGATAAGGATATACTGTACCATATGGTTACAGATAACAGAACAAAGCCCTTAAAAATCTATGTTTTGAAAAGTTACTGAAAGTTTACTGGGTTTGAGGTTTTACATTAATGTCTGAATTAACATCTTACTTAACTTCCTACTTAACGATGTCTTTAACAAAGCATTGCTTTCAGAACTCTCTATTTGCTCTTCCACCTGGAACATTTTCTCAGAAATCTCTGAATATTCAAATTCTTCCTATCCTTTGGTGGCCAGCCCAAACACTATCCCCAGTGAAATCTCTTCTGATTTCTTCTGGTGGATATAATCTCTCCTTCCTCTAAATTCCAAAGCCCTTGACTTACATCTCCATATGGATTGCATGTATTATTCACTTTTGCGCATAGCTGTTCTATGTTTACCTGTATGTCCCTAACTTCTCTCCATGTCTTTAAGGACAAGTACTACACAACAGGCTTTATATCCCTTTGTGCTTCACGGGTATAGATGCTCAGAAGCTAATGATACATCTTGATATTTCCCCTACAATCTTTTTAAGAAAATTCTTCCTCATCCCTTCAACCCCTCCGCATAGGGAGACTTCCAGAGCCTATTCCCTTTCTTGCTTATCTGTCTTCTGGATGCACGCCACACTGGCAATGTCACTGCTCACGTGCGGCCCAGAACGAGTACATTCTTCTTGGTGGTTCTGGTCAGTGCAGAGTATGGGGAGGACACCACATACATCGTATTGCAACCTGAGAGTGTGCTGACGTTTTCAACAGCCTGCAGTTAACTAAAATCATCCTTGAGAACAATCTTTGCTTTGAATCATATTTCTGGCTAACCACTCAGTTCCAGGGAAAGGAATCACAGCCACTTTGGAGACAAGAAATGGAGACAGAGCAGTCAACATTGATAAGAAGGGATTATTCTCTTCTTCCATGGAATTCTGAATCCCACACAGAGTTCTGTAAACTCATTCTTCTTTACATTATCCTATCATTTATGCTATATGTCATTTGGCCTAAGGGTACATTTGTGCCTGAACGTATTAAATACCTGCAAGTATTAAAAACATGTCAA